CCCACATGTTTAGGTTTTCACGATCAAAACTTAATTTCCGATATAAACGATTATCATATTCAGCGTCAACGCACAAATATGCATTAAATAGGATACTCTGTACGCAAATGTAATTTTCGTCGAATTTCCGTTCTCGGATTTTCTTACAGTTACTTTTGACTAAAGTGATCTTTTTTTATAGAGTTTTTATTATCATTGTGTTGAAAAAATCGAGTGCCGCAAGAATGAAATCATATTTTTCAAAAATGCATCCATGATTTTTTTTTCCTAACTATATGACTAGTAATATCAAAAGAAATATTTGGACGAATCTTGATATCATTGGGAATTGATGCTTTTGCCATGTTTTAGTTTTATGAGTTTTTCGAATTTTTTTCATCCAATTTGCCTAAATTTTGCTGCAAAACTGTCGTCTGCATATGCCAAAAACAATATTTCTATTTGCGACTTAAGGAACTCCATCTAACCATGATAAAAAAAATGTCAAAAAAGACCTTTTCCCAACTTTCCAACCTCCAATGCCTTAAATGATGTACTTTTTTATTATTAGGCTTAGTAGAGCACTTTTGAAAACAAAATTAATTTCTCAACAATAGAAGAATTCGGTCCAAAACCCCTATTTATTTTTTTTTGCCATATATATGATCGTTATAATTATGGAAAAAAAATCGTTGAAATATGTGCCTATGAACAGTTAATGTCTTTGAGAGGTACTCCGCTGAACTTCATGACGTCTGTCTGTAGTTCTGCTCATGATAGTGTCAGCTATTTAGCTGTATTATCGTCTAATTCAGTCTTAAATTATTTTTTTACACTTTAAGACTTCAAGGAAGTTTTGAAAAAGATATTGTGGGGAGATAAAATGAATGCTAAATGTAAGAATATGACAGTAAACTTCGTCTATTTCAAAAAAGTGATATCTTTTTTTAAGGCTACTTTCGATATAATAGTATTTCCAAATTTGATTAAGAAAAAAAGCAGTGTGAGAACGTTAAAAGCAACATTACTGTAGGTAACTTGACGAGTTCTATCCAATCATGTCAAAAAATCCGGAAAAAAATTTTGCTCAAATTTCGATTTGCCGGTATCTTAAGCTTATTTTCTCAAACTTGCTTCTGAAGGTCACATTTGCGTCAAAAGTGTTGAAATATTACTAGACGATTCTTCACTAAAAATAAATTAACCATTCTTTAGCTGCAACATTGCATTCTGCTGATATATTACGCATAATAGAGATATTATTCTCATTTATAATTTGATTGTTTCTATCAAAAATATGTTTACTGAGTTAGTTTTGTGATTTTGTTGTTTGTTAAGTGGAGTTTTTTGGAGAGGTCTAAGAAGATAAAATACTATTTGTATCAGTGCTCGTCTTTATTGAATGGAGGATATGTGATTGACGGTGCAACGGTAACTTTGCTTTTCAGTTTATTACATAGTTGTCTGAATTCGTCGTTGTTTAGATGTTCTTCAATACTTTGCATCGTTGCTGTTCAGTAGTAATAATCTTTCTCGAATAATATCAGCTGCATCGTGTATATCCCTATCAAGTAATAGTCAAAAGCTTTTTGCTTCATTAATTTTGATATTTTGTCGATAATTTGTTAATATGTCGTACAATTGAATATATGCTGATCATTCTCTCTATTGTATCACCGAGTGTTGTTTGTTGGTATGGTGTTCTGATTTTTAGTATTCTTTCGAATAATGAGACAGATATGCAAATGGTGCTTCTTTGAATTGTCTGTCGATTAAAATCAGATGCCAACTTCATACCGACTCTGTCTCGATTATTCTAAAAGTAATATTATAGTCTTCTGCTTTGACTTTCATATTGATATTTACTGTTAGCTTTGCTAAAAATATTGAAATTGATTGGATGTTTTGTTCTTAATGGAGTATAAAATATATTTGTGTTCTTTTGTTGTTGATATTTCATGCTGCTCTGTACTACAATGTCCTCGTTGACATTTTATTCCTTCATATCTTACCAAAATATTAAAATAATTATTTTTTACTCTGTAATAAAAATGAAATTCATGTAATAAATAACTAAAAGCGTTTCTCAATAAAACATTTTGTTGACAAATAGTTTTATATTTAAATGAAATTTTTATCTTAAACGTTGTTTTATCAATGTATATGAGACTTTGAAAACCTGATAAAGTATCAAACAATCTTTCTTTTTAAATTCGATTTGATTATCACAAGAACTGCAAAGATTTTATAGGGAAAAAGTATACTTATTCAAAAGTATGTACTTGCAGAATTTCCAATTTGGTCATTAAGTAATAACGTTATCTCTCTGTACAATTAGGTCATGAACAAGTAATTCTGCTGGAATGGTGTTGTTGAATTTCGATGAAAGAGAAAATCTGTTCATCTACCGAACCGAGCAGACTTTTTGGCTGTCGTTGTGATATCTTTAAAAGACTGAAGTTAAGTAACCAAATAATATGAGCAGCATCTCAACCTTCTTTTTCGATGATGTAAAAAAATTGGGCAAGTGTTGACTAGTGCGATATCTCTTATGTATTGTTTAAATCATCGGCAATATTAATATCAGCTTGATACAAAAACTATAATGTAAATGATGCTAACATGCGTAGCACATTTTAGTGTGAGAAAATCTGCTCGATCTTAAAAGTCAAAATATTATGCAAAATTAATCGTGGTAAATCAAATATTCATATCTATTTTCTTTATCCCCTTTAAAAAAGACATTATCTAATTCAAATTGTGTCCATTACAAAATGTAATCGTCAATATTTGTTTCTCCTGTAGATGAAAGTTGAGTGTGTCGCATTTCTGATGATTTCTCAGTTGTTACTTTTAGCTGTATAATGAGCAAATTGTTATTTCTGATAAAAAAACTAAAATATGTACATTATTGCATACCATTATTAACCGGATACAAGGTACTTGTGACTCAAGAGATTAAATTCGTTTGAAAATCAAATTCAATTAAAGATTCACTTCTGTCATCATCATCGACCTTCAGTTTACTTGAATTATCTGAAACATCAATAGAATATTCATTACTTACCATTGAACACCGTTTAGATGAAGATGATGTAGAATAGCTTTTCCATACCCAGATAATATACTACAATAATTAATATTTTCTTTTATATGAGAACAATTTATTAGTTATTTCGAAGAAATGTTATCATCTGAGTCATCAGAAAATGAAGTTAATTCATTTGATGCCGGAATTCTTGTAGTATCTTCCGATTCATTAAAGACAATGATAACACTTGAGAATTCAAAGTTTAAAAAATTTGCCTGAAACTTTTCGTGACACTATCAATGTTGAATATCATTCATTTTAGATCGAACATGTTTCGATGTGAATTTATCAATCATATGAAAAAATATAGTTCGACGTTTCTATCAGCAATTTTCTTGTCTAAATTCTCTTCTATATTTGTGTACCTTTTTCTTCGTTTTCTATCTTGTAAACTTTGCGTCGCATCAAATTTTCTAGTCATAAATTGTGCTTGAACGCCTTGATATAATAGCATGTTAATACATCCGATAGATGAATGCTCTTTTTCCCTTACAAATACTTTCTTCAATGTAAGAAAATTTCTCAATAACAACATTTGCGTGACGCATCGGATAATGTAATACAGATGGTCTATTTTTAATATTATTTGAATATCGTCTTCAAACTTTCACAACAAACCTGTCCATAAGAGCAAATATGCCCATCATCGATAAAAAATACGAATTGTTGGTGAAGCATACAATGCATTAATGATTTTATCACTTGCGATTTATTACTAATAAGAGTAGTAAGGTCAGAATAGAGCAGAGTAACTTCTTCATTAAAAGATAATTCGTGAATAATAGAAACATTATAACGAAAAATACTCGTCCACGATTCTAAATTCAACATTCTTGTTTTTAGCGTTGTAAATATGTTCGTACCGTTCGTTAAAATTGGTATACTCTCTTCATCAACGCTTAATCGAAGAGAAAATATGCGTTCAAGTTTCTTTTTGCTTTCTGTTCATTTGGATCTCTGAATATGTGAATCACCAATCCGAGGATATTATATAATTGCTTAATATCATTGTTGCATAAGATAAAAGCAAATATATGTAGTACAGCCAGGCCAATTTTTTGTCAATACTGGCAGCAGTTAAGCTTCTTGCTATCGTATGAATAACATGAAAATAAGAAAAATGAATAAATGATGATGATTGAAGTTTTTAGGCATTTTATTTACTATATGAAACATTCCAACATCGATTGAGTTGAGTATTAATATTTTCACTATTAAATGCTTGAAGAAACGCATTCATAATAGCAACAGGAAAGTCAATTAAGAAATATGAAGGAAGAACTGATTTGCCTTTGACGTGAGTGATATTTTGAGTCAAGTTTTTGAAAAAGTAACTGATAGCAGAAACTGTGTGATCCGTTTGAATAGTATGTGTAAGTGAAATATTATAATTAGAATCAATTCCATCTTTAAAAATAAGTTCATAAAGTAATAACACATTTTCTCCCCATACATTATTTAACACTACACAAGTGACATCTATGTGAACATAAGCAGATTTTTCTTCCGTACAGTATCTTATATCATTTAATTTGTGATTAAAAAAATAAATGCACACGAAATGAAATTTCAGCTTAAACTTGAATATATCTTGTGAAAAACAAGTAGGAATAAATTGATAGTGTAGTTTTTTTCTCATTTACGGATGACTCAGCTTGAATATTAGTAGATAACACATCCGCTATACAGTGGCGGATCCACCGTACGGCGATCCGGCGACCGCCGTCCCCTCGAAAAAAAGATGAAATAACGAAATAGTTTAGCGATTTTATAATAAAGTTGTGCAAAATAATTAAATTTTTGAAACTGTGAAAGCCACCCAAAGATGTCAGTATCGGTTGTGGAATTAATCTAATTCCAATCATCAAAATTTTCTGGTAAGTAACAGTAGCGAATTGAGAATCGCATTAGTCATTAGTATTATTAGTCGATGATTAATTTTAAAACGCTGCAATGTAAACAAGAATTAATGAAAGCTTGGAGCAACAATGAGAAAATAGCATTATATCTTCGACTTCGATTCGAAAAAGCTCGATGTAAATATTTTTCTAGAGGTTTTGAATGTTTTCTGCAAAAGAGATATTATATTTTCACTATATATTATTCATATTACTTTAGAAATAGATTGATAAAATGGAACTCTTTTAAAGGTTATACTTTCTTTAACATCTGATTGAAGAGTCTTTTTAGATTTAAATGTATCCTCAAATAACTAAATTTTTTAAAAAAGATACAAGTTCAAACAGTCACATAGAACGACAAAAACAACATACAAGTCAAAACCACCAGTTTAAATAAAATTTGATATTTTTTAAATTCTCAATCAAATTTAGATTTAGCAACAGAAGAAATTCAACTCGTTTCATCATCTCCAACATCACCAACGTCACTAACATCATCATCCGCATCATCATCATTATTACACTTCAATGCATCTAACAGTAGTGTTGTAACAAGTCCAACATCTAATTCGTGTAAAAATGATATTGGTTTATATATTGGTAAACCACTATCTGATGAACAAAAATATGAGTTATTAACATGTCATTTTGAGCCGGATAATGAATTTATTTGGCCTTATAAAGAACGTTTAATTATAACAGGTGAAAAAACAATTACAGAAAAAAGATATTTAAAGCAAAGTCATCTAAATGAATTCAAATGGCTTAAATATTCACCATCTCAAAAAGGTCTTTTTTGTATTGCTTGTGTTAGATTTACAGTATCAACTACAAGAGTCTCTTCATATGGAAAACTTGTTGAGATACCGCTGGACGATTATAAACATTTGCTTGGCAAACATGGAGATTTAATTCTTCATCAAAAAACAAATTATCATTTAGATTGTATGGTGAAAATGGAAAATTTTTTATACATATATTCAAAAAAACCTGAAGCATCAGTAGAAGTGAGTATATGAAAGAGAATTGGAAAAGAAGATAAATAGAAATGTTTAAGTCGTTAATCATATACAAATAAAATTTCATCAGTGTGAAAGGACAAGAGATAAACAAGACTTTCGAAAGATATTTTTTTCGTCTTTTTCTCGAATGCAAATGTTTATAGCTGAAAAAAAAAGGATAAATCAAAAGAAAGGAATAAATTTCTTTATCCTGTAAATTTGCTATTCCTTAATGATGCTTTTCTCATACTTTAGTTATTGATGGATAAACGTTTACAAAAAGAAATTGCAGAAAATCGTGCACGACTCAAACCAATTATAGAAACTATTTTATTATGTGGTAGACAAAATTTTCCTTTACGAGGTCATCGTGATGATGGTGATGTTTTAACAAATAATGATTCTTCATCAAAAGAAGGAAATTTTCGTGCTTTATTACGGTATCGAATTGAAGGTGGTGATACAGCACTCAAATGTCATTTGGGAACATGTAATAAAAATGCTTCATATGTTTCAAAGACAGCACAAAATGAATTAATTTCTATTATTGGTAATTTGATCTTGAAACAAGTGATTGAAGAAGTTAAATCAGCACAATTTTATTCAATATTGCTAGATGAAACAGGCAATTAATGCATTTAAAAAATATAATTGATGTCCTCCACTTGTTTCTTCTTATTTTAGCGGACAGCAAATATTGAACAAGCTAGTCTTTGTATTAGATATGTTTTAAATGATCAAATTCATGAAAAATTTTTGATGTTTATCCCATCTGATGATTGATCTGGCTTTGGTTTATCAAATCTAATCATAAAAACTGTTCAAGATTTAGGTAGAAATTATTTTTTCAAAAATGAAAAAATTATTGAATAACTTCTTTGTTTTCAGGATTGAACCTTGAAGATTGTATTGGTCAAGGGTATGATGGTTGTAGTGCTATGTCCGGTTAGAACTCTCCTTTTTTGCTATTTTAATTAATATTGCCTAATTCTCTATTTTTTACTTGTCTCAGGGTGCATCAGAGGGTATCAAGCATTAATCCGAGAAAAATATCCACATATATTGTACGTCCATTGTGCATCACATTCATTCAATTTAGCATTAACTGATAGTTGTGAAATACGTGCAATACAAAATACTGTTGGTACAATAAAGGAAGTTTATAATTTCATTCGATCATCATCAGTTCGTAGTCAATTATTTGAACAAGCAGCACGTAAATTAAATGAAAAAAGAAATCAATTAGTAGTTGTGAATGAAAGTGTTGCATTATCATCCACACAATCATCAGAAAGTATGACAATTGAAATTAAATGTAAGAAAGTAAAATTGGTGAATGTTTGTCCTACAAGATGGGTTGATCGTCATGTAGCTGTTGAAACATTTTAGAGTTTATTTCCTGCTATTACAGAATTATGAATTGATTTAATGAAATCTTCAGATAGAGAAACATCAACTAAATCCAATCTATTTTATGGTGCAATATCGTGTTCAGAATTTTTATGTTCATTGCTGATGTTGAATAAAATATTGTCATTCACAATTAATGTAGCACGTAAGCTCCAAAAATTAATTTTCATTTCTGCATATTGTATTTATTGATCGTAAATTTATTTATAGGAAGTTTACAGAACAGTAAAATTGATCTAATGATGTGCATTTCAAATATTGATGATATTTTACAAGTAGTACAGATGATAAGAGCTGAACCTGATGAAGAATATAAATATTTATTTGAAGAAACACAAGATTTTGCTAAATTAGTAGAAACAACAATAGAAATGCCAAGAATTACTAAACGTCAAGTGAGAAAATTAAGATCAGTTTAGAGTGTTTTCATTTATTCCTAGTTTTTCCTTTTCTAGTCAAATAGAAATAATATTCCAGCTTCTTCTGCATATGATTATTTTAAATTAAATATCTTTATTCCACTGCTTGATCATTTTTTGGTTGCTATTAAAGATAGGTTCAATGAACATGCCAAAAAAGCAGCAGCAATCTCATCTATTGTACCACAATATATTGGAAACAAAAATTATGATGATTTAGCCACAGCTCTCGAAATTTATCAAAAGTTTTTACCGGGTTCATCAACTGAAATTAAATCAGAATTTCTATTATGGAAAAAAAGATGGACACAACTTATTACAGATAATGATTCTAATCCATTATCACCTTCTTCAATCAACAACTACAATTCACCTACAAAAAAACGCAAAGAACAAATAATTTTACCCGATACAGCAATTGATGCTTATCTCCAATGTTCTGAAGCCTTCTACCCAAATTTAAAGATTTTATTGAAAATATTTTCAACTCTACCGGTGTCAACATCAACCGCTGAACGAACATTCTCTGTTTTAAAATTACTAAAAAGTTATTTACGTTCGACCATGTCGGAAAATAGACTGAATGGACTGGCGATGATGTACATTTATCGTGATTTTGATGTAAACATCGATTCTGTTATAGATGAATTTGCAAAAAAAAATCGTCGTCTAGTTTTTTAAGATTTCTTGCTAGCATTTTTGCTTTATTAAACGTTCCTTTTTTACGGATTTCTATTTTTTTCTTACATAAACTATTGTCGGCGCCAGAATTAAATAGGGGTGGGTGTAAGCTCAATAACTCGACAACCGCAATAGCTAGCGATCTGCGGTTTTCGTCAATCGAAAGAGGAGGAGTTGGGACGTCTTTTTC